AAGATACTCAAGGCAACTGGTGCCTTTTAAAATATTAGCATGACCTCCCAAAGGGAAAAGAGAGTTACTAATGAGTGAGAGGTTGTCTCTGGAGGACAGATTTATAAAGGCTGCTACAGGATAGTGAATTTTAATTTAGTGCTTCGTTAGTGGTGTCTTGCTGGTCTGGGACTTCCTTTCCTCACACCAAGGATATCAGAGGAAGTGGATTTGTGAAAAAGATGCCTGAAAATACTAATGTGGAGTGAATCCATGGATTTTTCCCATTCCTATTCCTTTTTTAATGGTTCACCACCCAATATAGGACCTGAAAATCACTGAATGAGCTTTGCAAAAAGACTTCCAAGAGAGATTTTAGAGAGAGAACATAGACGTGGCATTTGTCAACATATGTCAAGTTCCCTACTTGGTGGGAGCCATGATTTGTACGGGTGCACTGGTGCCAGAGAAGGGTTGGCTGAACCACTTGGTGCTCTCATGCTTTGTCCCGGTGAGTGGGGACATCCTGGAATGAGATCGCTTTCCTTTGTCCTCATTCCTGGTGCCCCTAAAAGCAGGTCCCCCACCTGGCTGCAGCATTGCAAAGCTGCATGATCTCTCCATCCATCTACTTGGGGTAGCACAATGCCCTGCAGTGGCAGAAAGACTCGGCAGTTAATGGGCTGGGAGAGCATTGTGCCCAATTGGCAAAGAAGGCACAGAGTGTTTTGAGTTCCCCATTGCAAGATCCATTCCATCATAAATAAATTGACCTGGATGATCAGTAAATACTTGTGGATGCTTCAGCTGATAACACTGTCACAACTATGTAGACATGCTTAGCACTGGAGCTTGCTGCTCCTGCAGGGGAGGATTTGGGGACCTGGCACCAAGATCTGCTCACACACAGGAAAGGGGTTCATATTAATGGTTTGTGCCTCTCCATCTTCCACAGGTGCTCCTGGTATGTAGGCCAGGGAGGGAAAATGGCAGCAAGAGGGCCAGCTAATGGCAGGAGCCACACTCTAAACACTCTAAACACTACCAAGGCTGTTTGAATGAATTTCAATAATCATCTGTGGCCATTATCCCTGCTAACTCTGCATCCCTTCCCTGCACCACTGGGGCCAGCTAAGCACTGCACAGACAATCAGTTTTGGATGCAGTTGGAACTCTGGGATGCTTTTCCACTGCGCTTGTTAAATCAACATAGCATGACTGGGAAGATATAATTGTAGTGTTCCAGAAAAGCATAGTTCATGACGAGATACACTCAAACAAAGTGCTGGGAAGACTATAATTTCTGTAGTGGAGTATTTTGTTTAGCTTATAGGACAAATTAAGATTTGCTTTATTTTTCCTATTAATTCCTTTCTTCATTTCTATATGGCCCAATAGTTAAAGCTCCCTGGCAGTATACAAAGATTAAAGCCTTAACATTATTTTTAAAAGCATATAACATATAGGGAAATTGATGCTGGGGAAGGCTCTCCATCACAGTCCTGCGCCATGTACGGCTTTATAGCAGCTCCTTGCATCAGGCTTGGGAGCATATTGGCAGCCTGTGCAAGCAGGTCAGAATGTGTTGTACAGTCAATCAATCGAACCACTGCGTTGTTCATGAACTGTTTCGGAACTGTCTTCAAAACCAGCCGTGTGGAGAGTGCATTGCAGTGATCTGACCTGGAGGTTATCAGAGCGTAGACGACCAAAGCCAGGTTGTCCCTGCACAGGCTGGGGCTGTCAGCTGAAGTTGTAGAGAGCTTTGCATGCAGCCATTTGCATTTAATGGCCTTTTGACATAGGTAATTGCATTTTTTTCTGGTGTCCTCCCACATGCATGAGTATGAGACTCCATTTGCCCATCTAAATCCATCCCATCCATCTAAAAGAAGGTGGGGAATGGAAGGGATTAAATAGTAGAAGAATATGCATCATCAGTTCAAAAAAGTTTATTATACTAGCCAAAAGCCATGACAAATGTATCAAATGAATGCACATAAATAACAAAATAAGGAATTTCAACAATATAAATAAATTAAAATATACTATGAACAGAAATTCATCTTTAATTCAATTCTGAATCTCCAGTGAAGTTTACAGCAATTGTGTTCAATTGTCTCTCTTTTTCATTGCCAGAGTAAACAAAGCAACTTCATGTGTTACATAACTATTGCTTTCACTTACAAGAAAAAGATCTGTTTCTGCCAAGGCATTCCTGTATCCATATGATAGCAAGGGTTTCAAGAATCGTTTTCTAGGGTCAGTATATAGAAGACTGATTAACGATGTTTTCAGATTGATATAAACCTTAATGTGCATTCAAGAGGCACCTTATTATATCACCCATCCAAAACTGGGGTTAACATGACTTGAAATTGCAACTCAATAAAAGAGTTTCTTAAAGAGGATAGTCTCAGTCTGGACAGATAGATAGCCCTATAATGTTTTGTTTTCAGTAGAGGAAACTACTGGAAGAATTTAGTTTTTAATTAATTGCAGATCTTTTCTAGACTCTATCCAAAATATCCAGCACCTTAATTGTCTCTTATCCAGAGTAAAGATGGTATTCAGATCAGAAATACAATAGTGACATGCCAGATTATGAAGCCTTGTCTTCCGCGTTTGGCTTTTATTAATTTCCAAATGGCACAAAGCTGGAAAATGTCCATTAGGGAGAAGAGCAATTTGTTCAAGATGCTGTAATGAAGTGTGGTCTATTCTTGTCCTGACTCTGTGCAGAAGAAGGCTGCAAGGAATGAAGACAATAAAGTTTGTGAAAGAAACTGTTCTGCACTATTTCCAAAAAATTTATGGCAGCGCTGTCACTCCCCCAAATTTCAGCCACATAAAGCATTTCTGCAATCACTTTATTGTAATAAACTTTCAGGGTAGGGTAAGTCAGCTGCCTACCTTTGTTGTAATAAAACTTCATAATTACTGCAATTATTTAGAAGAATATGCATTTCCTTAGTTTATGCTAAGTTACAATAAAGCATATGGCACTGCGGGTTCTGACAAAAGGTCTTTGGTGAACACGGGGGAGGAGGGTTTTGGAGCATGGACCAAAAAAGCATCATGGAGGAATCCTGGGAGATAATTCCAGGTGCAAGAGACACCAAAGAAAAAAAAAGAGTTGGTTGCTTTATCATCCTGGTTATTATAAAAGGGTTTACAGTGCATAGAATTATTTTGCTGTCTCTTAAAAACCTTTACTGAAGAGTTCACGTAGGGGGACAGTCATGTTTCTTGTGTGCTGTCAGATTTAAGGATATTTTCCCCTTGACAACAGAATGCAGGAGACAGCACACTTGAAGTGTTATCCTGGTATATTTTAAGTCTCTTTGTCTGAAGCTGCTGAAAATTTAAAGACATTGGAGTAACAGGAATGGAGTGAAGATGCAATTCAGTTGCAGTTTTTCCCCCTCTGTGAGTCTCCCTCATGAGCTCCTACCTACAATGTGTACAGGAGTGAAAAGAGTGTATCGGCTCCTCAATGCCCTACATGTTGCTACAGCACAGAGAACCCTCTATGGATTCTTTGCAAATTAAAAGATAGGGAAACTCTCCAAATTTGCAAAGGAAACTGCATCCCTGGCCAAGCTGCCCTTCTTATGGTAAACCATAATTGGTGCTCATCTAGGACAAACTTTTCTGTAACAGAAGGACTTATAAAGAAGCAAAGTTGTTTAGGAAGGTCAGCACCACTTCTGATCTGGCCCAATGTGCAAGTCACATAAGGCTATTTTGCTGGCACCAGTGGCATTGGTAGAGTACGGGTGTACATCCAGTGATTTCTTTTGGATACAATAACTTTGATGCTGATGTGGAATCCCTGAGCCCCTAAATCATGCTCTGTTAGTTTTACTGGAGGCAGAAGATTCATTTCTGCATGGATCTCCTGCTACAGTTGAAAGGAATTCCTCTGCATGCTCTGCCATAGCATCCTTTATGTTCTGGCCCTAAGGGCAGCATATGCATCCCCACCTTTATCCTGCCACAGAAGTCTGTTGTTCAAAATGTGGTGAAGATCAGTGTGTCACGGAGGAGCATAAGCATGCCAGGCTGTCCCTGCTCAGTACATGATTTGGTTGCCCAGTTGTAAAAGGTGACTTTTGAAAAAGAGCTGAGAAGGTTCTCTGTCCAAGATTTTCCAGGTTTCTGAGTGACAAAGAAAGCCTCCAAACAGCCAGGAAGCTGCCCCCTGGAGAAAATCACCTTCCGCATGGAGGTGATGAAAACATTGATTGAGAATATGTGGCTAGTGTGCTCACCCCACCCCCATTTCATATCTAGAGTACCAAGATTCTGCACACATGATTAGGGCTGGACTCAGCCTTGGGGCTTGTCCACTTACCTCTTAACGGGGACTGGCTATACCGAGGTCCATACTGAGAGGATGCTTCAGTTCATGGAGGTCCATCCATGGACCCATGTGTCTCACCTGGATAATGACAAGGCCAGCAACTGCATATGCAGTGTGCACCAAGTGGCTTTGCTTTTCCTTTTGTGCAAATGTGCCAACAGAAAGGGATCTTACCTCTTCAGAGGTTTATGACCATCCAGTGTAGGAAGGAGTGAGGCACAACGGTGGCACTTTAGAACTGGGGAGGCAAAGGGGAGGGCATCGGAATATTGACTGGAATTGGCGCTAGTCTGTGGTCCCAGCCTCCTTCCCTCCGCACCCTCCCTGCATGCCCTCTTTTTCATTCCCCAGTGCCCAGTTGTGACCTGGGTGGGGCAGAAGCTGGCGTGGTTCTTTGTGCACTCGCTGTGATGCGGGGGGGGGGGGGGCAGGCAGAGTCCCAACTCCAAGTCTGTGAGGTCTCCAAAGAATCCTATGGCCTCCCAGATGATACTGGGAAGTCACAGGGCTGTTCCCCTTACTGTGTAGGAGCTATACATATTTATGCAGGTTCTGTGCTTTGTTTTCATAGACACACACACACACACACACACACACACACACACAGAGAATTTATTCCCTCACGATTGTCTTGACTTCCTTTTTTACTTTTCAGATTTTTCGACGAGCTGACAAAAATGGTGAGTGACCTGCTGCATGATTTCCTTATCCCTCCCTCTTTTTCATTTAACTATTGTCATTTAAATATATAACTTTCCTCATTTCTAAGTCCAGGGTTGGGCAACACATACATTTAACAGAGCACTGGATAAATTAGAATGTCCTTTTAGGAATATAATTGGCCAGAAAACCTTTCATTTGTATTCCACCTCTTCTCCAAGGAGCTCATGACAGCCTGTTCCCACTCAATTTTCTTGTCACAGCAGCCTTATGAAGTTAGTCAGCCTGCAATATATTCACTGGCTTCAGATCACCCAGAGGGTTTTATGAAAGGAATTAGGTGGATCTGAACCATCTTGTGTAACCACTATACAAGACCAACTCTTATAATTTCCACAGATATTTATTTGTTTGTTTTGCACCTTGAAGGACTGGAAGTAGGAATGATGGAGAAATTCACAAGGGATTCAAATGAGCTTCAATTTCTATGAATCTTAACCTGCAGATTTTACAGCGGACTTTTTCCAAGTCCCATGGATACAGCTGACTTGCCGACTAGTTTCTCACTTGTGTAGCAGAGGAGCTATTTCTGCTAATTTGCCCGATTGCACTAATACGTATTTGTCTACTTATGCAAATGCAGTAATGCTAATGAGTAGAAGTAGAATGATTCTGGTTTAAAAAAACCCGATTCCATCAATCAGTGGATGACAGAACACAAGACAGCTGACAAACTGCTAAACACAAATGAAACAGATTTAACCAAAGTTGTACCTCCTTTGTCATAAATGAAAGCCAGGATTCTCAAGATCCCAAATTCTTCTCCAGATAAGCAAACCCAGGGCACCATATATGTGTGAGATGCACCCATGCTTATTTATAGCATTGCTGATCCCATCTGCAACCCATGACTATTTTTAATCCCCAAATGTTCCCTGCATCCCTTTGACCATTGCTGTCTACCACTAGGACAATTGCTGGCCCCTGCCTTTCTCCATTATCCTAGCAATCCATTGCTTTTGGTTGAGTCTTGTCATGAAACCTACATGTCAGTGAATTTTTGTACATGGGTCAATCCCAGCTTTTTAATGCTCAGCTTTCATTGCCACTCACAGTATACTCTGGGCCTCTTTATTTCCTTTGGCTCCTGCGTTTGCCACTCTTCATCTATCAAGTTTTATGAAAACATTTTCAGGCTCACCAGGGACACTTGGATTTTGTTCATTTTGTTTGAGCATTATTTTTTCTTACATTTTAATGCACTTTACCATTGTTTTCTTCATGTTTTCCCAACACTGCTCATCTTATTTCCAATTTACAGGTGGAAACTGAGGCTGCTATAACACTCACTCAGATGGAGTCTATGCTGGGATTTAACCCAGCTTTCACAAGTCCATCCTTTGAGTGGCTCTTATCATTCAAAGGAAATTGAGGGAGGAGAGGAACCACAGTCTAACCCCCTCTGCCTAGGAATGGCCAGGGAAGAGATGATATGGATCCAAGGACAGAGTGTCTGTAAACAAACCACCTGCATAAATCATTGATGAAACTGCTTCATGCCAGCATCTGATGCTAGAAGCATCTCTAGTTCAGTGCTATAGCTTTGCTCAGTATCAGCATCCCAACACTGCTAACTTCTGACTCAGCAGTGGTAGTCAGTAAATATTTGAGATGGGCTGACATGTCAAGTTGGATTCTACTCAGTTCCTCTTTATTCAACATTCCATTCATTCTATTCCATTTCCACATCACTTAAGACAAGTAATTAAACCCAGCATGAAAATGCATATATCTGTCTCATGATAGTACACATTTTTGTATTCAATTGCATTTTTGCAGGTGACTTTTCAGAATAGAATATGTTTTTGTGCACTCCTTGCCTCACCACTTATATTTTTGTGCACATGTGCTCCTGGCATATTCATTGTTGCATGCGGTTTTACATGTGTGAACTACATCACAAAATTCAGGAAACTAATTCCATTCCAACTTGTGAAGGATAGATCTAGTAAATTCTGCTTCTGATGCAAAGCAAATGAATTGTTCACCCATCCCCAGGAACCATTCAGAGCTTCCTGTGTGTGCTACAGCTCCTCACACAATGGTCTCCATGCATGAACTGTGCAGTTTGTAAGCCTAGAGTTCGTGCATCTTTTCTGCAACAACTTTTGCCATCTCCAGAATAGCAAAATGTACCTTTAGAATTGCTAAGCTTTCCCAACAGAAAGTTATGAATTCCTGTCTCAGATGTCCTGACTTTTCCCTACTACAAAGCATGTTAAATTAGACAGTGTATCAAGGGGAATGATATGATGTGTTTTGCATTGCAAAAGTGTCATTCTTTTTCTTTCATTCATTCAAATGTAGATGATGGAAAGTTGTCATTTGAAGAATTTAAGAACTGTTGTGCTGATGGTATCCTCAGTTCAGAAGAACTGTGGGAGTTGTTTAGTGGCATTGACAGGAGTCATTCGGGGTAAGTAATAATCTATTAGAGACAAGTAGGTTTAAATCAGACTCATCTCAGTCTTCCACCCCTGTCAGACTGCATCAATTTAGCAGACTCGGGAAGAGAAAGATTCACTTCCTCACCCAAATGGATGTATTACATTTAAACCTAAGAAAATATTTTCTTTTAAAATATCTATTGCAATTGTCAGATATGGAATCAGAAATTTCCTGGAAAGGGGTCAAGCTCACTGGTAAACCATATGCCTTCCATGCAAATGTTCCCTTACTCTCCCTACGATCAACCTGACTCTCCAGGTAGGGCTGGAAAGGCCCCAGCCGAAAACCTGGGGATGTGCAGGTTTGGAAGCCACTTCTTCCCATCCCACCTGTTTTCCTCTCATAGAAGAAGGATGGGCGATTCCTTTGGTTCTTGGAGCTGCTTCCTTCACCAGCATTGACAATGCTGCCACTTCACTGCTGGGTTTGCAGCTGAAACACAGTGGTGCAGTGGCGTTTGAGAAGCAACTTTCCTCTAAAATGAGACATGCAAGGAGCCCGTGTCTTGCTGGGAAGCAAAGTCAGACTTCTGGAAGGTGGGCGCTGTAAACATGGCCAGGGAGGCTGCATCCTGTCATAAAGGAATCCTTGGTTAAGCTGGCTCAGGTGATATGTGGTTAATGCAGAGGACAGAAACATGTCAGTGAAATGAGCAACTAGAGCAAGGCAGGTGCTATTGCATTTCTCTGTTTCCCAGCGGATTTGCATTCTACTGAAATTAACTAAGTGTAAGTGCTGTGTCCACTATGGTGTTCCCAATTACTATGCATGGGTGTGAAAGCTGGACGGTGAAGAAAGCTGACAGGGAAAAAATCGATGCATTGGAGACATGGTGCTGGAGGAGAGCTTTGTAAGTACCTGGACTGACCAAAATGTATCCTACATCAAATCAAGGCAGAACTTTCCCCGGAAGCAAAAATAATGAAACTGAAGCTGTCCTACTTCAGACACGTCATGAGAAGGCAAGACTCCCTGATTGATGGTAGAAGAAGAAAAGGGCAACCAGCTGTGAGATGGATTGATTCTATAAAGGAAGCCATAGGCTTGAGTTTACAAATGCTGAGCAGGGCTGTGAAGTACAGGATGCCTTGGAGGGCATTCCTTTGATAGGATTGCCATAAATCAGCGATGACTTGGCATCACTCAACAACAACAACGTTCAGTGTAGCCTTGCCTTTTGCTTTGCACTGCGTATTGAAAAATATGTGAGTTGGAATATGTAGAAGAACATGCTGTAGATCTGATGATTAAGGAAGATTATCTTCAGCTTATCTCCAGATTTCAGTGCTAGGATTTCATAATCCAGTAAGACTGTAATGCAGCTTGTCTCTAAGCCACAGAAGGCTGCTTGAAGTCAGTACAGTAGCATGACACTGCTTGAAAAGTGAACTTGTGAAGGCTGGGAATTAAAGCTGATTTAAAAATAGCCCAGACTCTGATCATAATTAAGATAGCATGTTAACTTCACAGCAGCATGAATGAATTGCATGGATCATAATCAGCTTTTGTATTTTTGACCAAGGACAGCTTAGAATCCGATGTAACTTCCCCATAAATTGTGCAAACAAGGTTTTTTAATATATATATATATATATATATATATATATATATATATATATAATTTTTCCTTTTAAACCATGGCTGCATCTGTGCATAACAATAACCCAGAATTTGGTAGAATTCTGGCTTACTGTGGCAAGCCAGCACATGGATGCACTCTGTTCAATCACTCTTTTGCTTTGTTCTACAGCAGCAAGCCAGGATGCACCTGTCTGTGGTTTTCACATCATGATATGCCATCTGAGAAGTCTGCTTTGTTTCCCAGGACAAGCCAAAGTTACAAGCCATCTTTTGTTTCTGCATGCCAGTTTGTTTTTTAGCATTCTGGCTTAGTGTGGCATGGGAAGTCAGCCAAAATTCAATAAAATAAAGGAATAATATAGCTTCCCCATTTACTTATTTTGAACAGATGGTATTTAGGCAAGAAAGAGCCTTCCCAAAGGAAGGCAGTTCAGAAATGCAGACCATTTGTAAGCACTCCATCATAGCTTTAGAGATGACTTTTGATTGCCAGTGTTCACAGCACTTCACATGTGTTCTAGTTGTAATCCGTATAGCAACTCAGAAAGATCAGTCAGTATGATTGCCCATACTGCAGATGGGCAAACTGAGGCTGAGACAAAGTGTCTTGTCTAACATCACCAGGTGAGTTCATGGCAGAGGCAAGATATGAACTGGGGACTTCCCTTGCCACGATGCTAAACCAGCACTTTGACAGTGTCTGTTGCAACAGCTTCCAGTGGCCATCCCTGATGCAGACAATAATTAAAGGAGAAGCGCAAATTCTGCCGCCCCCCAAGAGGCTGAAAGAAAACAAGTGAGAAAAGCCCGTGTCCCCGGCTGCCTCTCAGAGCACAGTGCAAGGGCTTCTGCATTCAGAGTTACTGTTTCGTTTCTCCTGTTTCTGGCTTCCTTGCCTATCTGCAGTCTCCTGATTCCTTCTGGTATAAGTTTCCTCCTCTTGAGTCCCATGATGCTTCTGGTATTATAGATGGATCTTGCAGGGCTTATGAAGCAAATCCTCCAATATCTGTGCATTAGGACAACAGCGCACCTTTCCGGTGCTGTAAAGATTCATGTCTTTGGCTGCTTTCCATTAAGCTAAAGGCAGTTTAAGGGGAAGGCCGGTAGCTAAGTGGTGGAGCTCAATACAGAGCAACTTCCTATGTTGCTAATTGCACACAAGAGATAATGTGTTGACCTGGTGCAGATAGACTCTCGTGTGCAACTCAGGTCCTGTGCAGGCAACAGGATATGCTGAATTCACAGAAGGGGGCATGGAACTGTGGCAGCTGTCACACTAGCGACATGCATAGGCCAGAGCTTGTGCACAGGTCCTATGTGTGCAAAAGCCTTTTATTTATTTATTTAAAACATTTTTATGCCGCCCGCATCGCAACAAAGCCTTGGGGCGGCTCACAACAAAAACAAAATATATAAATATAACAATTATACAAATAAAAATATTAAAACCCAGTGCATCTCGGCTTAAAAGATTTAAAATCCTATGAATACAAATAAATTAACAATTAAAATGAGTTTTAAATTAAAAAGTCTTAGCCTGGCACCAAAAAACAAATAACAAATAAGGACGGCGCCAGGCAGACCTCTCTGGGGCGCGCATTCCATAGATGGGGCGCCACCACAGAGAAAGCCCTCCTCCGGGTACTCACCCTCCTAATGTCCTTCACGGAGGGTTCCCGGAGAAGGGCCTCTGCCACCGATCTCAAGGGGCGGGAGGGCATATATGGATGCAGGCGCTCCTTTACGTAACCAGGACTGAAGCTGTTCAGGGCTTTGTAGGTGATAACCAGCACCTTGAATTGGGCCCGGACTTCAATTGGGAGCCAGTGGAGCTGACGGAGGACTGGGGTTATATGAGAACAATGCCCAGTCCCTGGCAGCTCTATTCTGTACCAACTGAAGTATCTGGACCATCTTCAAGGGTAGCCCCATGTAGAGTGCATTACAGAAATCTAATCAGGAATTTACCAATGCATGTGTCGTTGTTGCCAGGCAGTTGTTCTCCAGGAAGGGACACAGCTGATGGATCAGCCGAAGTGGAAGGAAGGCGCTCCTCGCCACCGCCGTCACCTGAGCTTCTAGAGACAGCTCACGGTCGAGGAGCACTCCTAAGCTGCAAACCCTGTCCCTAAGAGGGAGTGCAACCCCATTTAGGACAGGGCCCAAGTCCCCCATCCCGAGGCCCGAACCACCCACCAACAGGACCTCTGTCTTGTGTATCATGTGTGCTTTATTATTATTATTATTATTATTATTATTATTATTATTATTATTATAGCATTTCTATGCCGCCCCTTGCCGAAACCTCGGGGCGGCTTACAACATGATAAAATACATTGAAATACAATAGTACATAATAAATTACCATTAAATATAACAATACAAAAAATACATTGATTTACAAATACAAAATTAAAATTATCAGTATAAAATAAAAATATAGGAGGAGAAAGAGAAGGAAGAAGAAGTTGCCCTGGCCAGATCATATGTTTTAACAATTGAAATGATGTTTAAATAAAAAGGTCTTTACCTGGCGCCGAAAAACCAGTAACGACGGTGCCAGGCGGACCTCTTTGGGGAGTGAATTCCATAGGTTGGGTGCCACCGCAGAGAAAGCCCTCCTCCGGGTACTTACTCTCCTAATTTCTTTCATGGAGGGTTCCCGGAGAAGGGACTCTCCCGCAGATCTCAAAGGGCGGTCGGGCATATACGGACGTAAGCGCTCGTTCAGGTAGCCAGGACCCAAGCCGTTTAGGGCTTTGTAGGTCATAATCAACACCCTGAATTGGGCCCGGGCTTCAATGGGAAGCCAGTGAAGCTGACGGAGGACTGGAGTCATGTGAGCATAGCGCCCCGTCCCCGTCAGCAACCTGGCAGCTCTATTTTGCACCAATTGAAGTGTTCGGACTGTCTTCAGGGGAAGCCCCACGTAAAGCGCGTTTATGTGTCATGGGCCCATTTTCACAATCTTCCTTTTGCAGGTTGTCAAAACAAGTATGTGTACATAAAATTAGGTTGCATAGGTTCTCCATACAAACTATGATCCAGGCAGGAAATCTGGGACTGGGGACTTCCACCACAGTCTGCCCCCTCCCTTGCATGGGTGGAAGGTACCTTGTTTGCACTTAGCTCCACAGAGCTACAGTAAGGTGCCACAAGCAACCGCAGCATCTTATGTCCACAAATAAAATACACATGTATGCAATGACCACACAGAGGGGCAATCTGCATGGGGGGATTCTGTTATTTTTTTCAAGGAATATCTCCATGTCTTTTGCTGGATTAGACTAAATATGTTGTCAGGGGCTCAGCTGGGCAGGCATGTGCTGGAAGGGATGCCTTTTGCCTCATCTCAGCATAGACAAGATGTTGGCACCTGATCCT